AAATGTTCATTGTGGTAAACGAAATAATAATTTGATCTAAGTAAAAGTTTTTTTTCTTCTCGATTTATAAACAAATCCTTACGTGATAGAAAAAAAGAATATTATTTTTGAAATCTGCGCAGCTGAATTATGGAAAATCTGTTATTAAAACCAAAACAACTTTTATGAAGTTTAAATTCGCAGACCTGTGTAATCGTGCATTCATTTGGAGAATGAGGCGATGTGTTTTGGAAACCTGATTATTTCAATGATTCAACAGTTAATGAAGAAGTAGCTTTAACATTAATTCAGTTATAACTCGACATGCGCTACAGACTGGTTTTATCCAGCGAATCTGTCATTTACGTCTTTACAAATTAATCCGTTATAGGACTGGGACAACATAAACAAACTGGTTTCATTATTATAAAAAATGTATTTTTATGTAGCCCTGAAGATCGAACGGCGGATGACATAGAGGTCATCTTCGAAGAACTGTTGCATATTAAAGCTTTATCCCACTTGTCCAACAGCGTAAAAAGAGAGTTAGCAGGAGTCTTATTTTTCGAATCACACCTAAGAACCGGGACAGTTTGTAAGTTTCCTATCTGTACTTGCTAAGTACCGAGCTTGTAATTTCTAAAATTTCTTATGGAATTTCCAGGTTACAGTAAATATAATATTCTATAGACTATGACTCTATAAATGTTTATTCATAGATCATTGTTGACCTTTTCTCTGTAGACTATACTTCTGAGACCCCCCAGTGGCTCCGCGGTCACGTCTAAGGGCTCACACCACCAAAAATCGGGTTTCGATACCCGTGGAGGGCACAGCACAGATAACCCATTGTGAAGCTTTGCGCTTAACAACAAACAAACAATATAACTCTGTAACTGTTTATTCATAGATCGCTGTTGACGTGTTGATATGAATTAAGTAAAATCTTGTGAAAAGTAAATCATTGTTGTAAAAATTAATTTAACTATGAATAAAACAATATATAGTTTACTGTTTAAAGAAACGTTAAAAAAGGTGAACCGTGACCTAGGACAATGGCTTATTCATGAAATATTTACAATAGGACATACTGCACTAATATGGTGAACGACTGTGTTAAAAAATTACCGACCGTTTTAACCGAGTTTACTATGTTAGACATACTTTAAAACTTTACACACGTAAATATTGGAAAAGTAAACAATAAGAAAAAAACATTTTGTATTAAGTTTATAAACAGAATTGATAAAATGGCTACGTCAAATTATCACGTGTGACTAGTAATAGTTTTTCCTTTTGGCTCTTCCCCTTCCATCCTATGTTACAAGTAATACCTTTTGGCTACAGACAAGTCAGATTTATTGTGAGATGTTTATTGCACTTTTTTTACAGTATTTTTCTTCATTATGTATCAAAATTTATTTTCTGAGTAATTTTATTTCTGAGTTACCAAATGGGATAATAATGCTTATCTGAATCAGAAATAATATTTGAGGTTGCGTGGCTCTATTTCATAATTCAGATTGTGCGAGTGTAATTTAAGACGTACAAATTTTCAACTGTGTAACAGAAGTGTACTTCTTGATAAGGCCAATTCAACTTGTTCTTCCCGTCACCGAACATACTCGTCCTTTCAGCCTTGGGGGCGTTCTAAGATGACATTCAATCCCAACTATTCTGGCCCACCATGGTCAAGTGGTTAGGACGCTTGACTCCCTGAATCACCGCCCCCACCAAACATGTTCGTCCTTTCAGCTGTGGAGGCGTTATAATGTCAAGGTCAATTCCACTATTCGTTAGTAAAAGAGTAGCCCAAGAATTGGCGGTGGGTGGTGCTGACTAGCAACTTTCTCCACCTAGTCTCCAACTGCCAAATTAGGGACGGCTAACGCAAATAGCGCTCGTTTAGCTTTACTCGAAATTCGAAACAAACCACACACAATCAAGTAGTTCAAGAAAAAAAATACAAAGAAACTGCGGCGTTTAAAGAAAAGCTATATCGAGAAATTGAAATCGACCACTGCTTATTTGGAATAGCTTAGTGAAGCTAGTACAGAAACATCATAATTTGTCTGTTTATCACTTCCGAATGTGAAACCAAAGTAACTAAGTTCAGTAAGTTATTTATCAGAGCGGAACTGCGTTTTTTATTTTTTCCCTGATTATCTACACAGCCTGCAGCGCAATCTATTTTACAGAAAAATACACGTGCTTAGCTTAGTAATCGAGATTTTTTTTAAATCTTGTCAAAACTAAACTGTGAACTATTTTTGTTTTCTGCACGGCGAGGAGGCTTCTCCAGCTTGTTTGTCGCTTATACGATCTTCAGCAGTTGAAAACAGGAACTCATTAACGCAAAACTTGGATGATCTTTAGATCGTTTCATAATTAAAACCCTAACAAAGTTTTGTACTCTTCGCTTCAAGAGCTCCTGACTGGTTGAGAGATAGATGTATAGTTTGTTCAAAATGGTTACTGTCAAGATTATTAATGTAAGCCTCTTGAGCATGCATCACCATTTTGTCATGTAATTACAGTTATCTTACATTACGAAACTTAATATTTTGATATGTGATATGAACATGATTTCTCTAATAACTCCTGATGGTTTAAACATGTTTTATTTTGAATAACAGTTGTGTATGACAATACTAGTATTTTGTATGAGTCTTTACACTGGGTGTGATGGAAGTAGCATGTTAGATATATTAATATTGATGTATATTTTGTTTATACACAAAAGTATGTTTCAAAACATACGCACAGCAAAGAAACAACGGCGTTTCCTTGTAACTTGTCTTTGTCAAGTTTGATATGAGAATGAATTTCCGATGTATGATTAAAAAAGCAATCTGTTCTCTTGTAAACATAGAATTTACGCCAAACAATGTATAATTAACATTAAAGAGGAATATTAAAGAAAAAACATGTGATACAACATAAACGATATAGTGAAGTTAATTGATATAATAGGTATGCTAGAAGAAAAATAAATATATAAAACACACACGCACACATACATATATGTAAGTATATATATATTTGTAATCGTATGTAACCAATTAAAATACAACAGCGTAATCAGACCTTTGAAAGGATTGTTTTTATTCAAGACGTAAGAAAATGTAGTATTTAAATTGAAAACAAAACGGTATTCTAGGCTTACGTGTAGTAATCCATCTTGTGGTACTTGAATTGAGACTAAGTCTCATGTCCTCAGTACCATTGTGGGTAGGAGACTTGAAGTGTCTTGGGACGTTGTTGTCTTTGTCACGTCTTGCTGGTGTTCGTGAAACCTATCTCCTGATCATCTTGATAACTCTTCAATGTATTAAAACCCGCATTTATCGCAGCTGATACAATAGATGATGTACTGTGATATACAAACGAAGTGGCCCTTAACGTGGTAAATGTAATTTTGTGTGGTTAAAGTTGTGGTGTCATCAGTATGCTTGCACGTGAGCGATATGCTGCGTTGACACAGTTTTGTACTAGGTGGCAGCTTTCAATCAGCTGTTTTTAACTTTGAGTGTTCCAAATATTTTTCAAGTTCCTGTTACATTTGAAAGGGTTAGTAAAAATGTTGGAAGAAAAATAGGGCACTCATTAAAAGTGATGAAATAATTCTATATAATTCTGTTAATATTTCTGTTAATAGGATGGTAAGTAAGAACAAGAATATTATGTTTGTTTTAGGCTCAAAGATTAATTAGAGTCTGCGTAAAATTTTTTGACCTTTTTAATAACGATAACACGAGAATTTCGTTTTTCGAAGAAGTGTCTTCGTTCTTGTTGAGTTTTAAGTCCTGGCTATTAGAAAACGAACGCATAAGCTTTAAGCACTGGCCCTTTATGATGTTTTACATTTCTATGGGATGGAAGGATTTGTACTTGTTATATGCGGGACTGTCAGTATGTTTATTTTTTAGCGCAAAGCTACATAACAGGTTGTCTGCTCTGTGTCCACCGCTGAAAATCGAACTCCGGATTTTTTCGTGTGTGTGTCCATAAACTTATCGCTGATCCACAGGGGGGAACCCGTTGGTAGGTTTCTAAGTTACAGTAGCTTGAAGTGTTTTGTCAGAAATATTTATGTTGATGTCCGAAAATAAAATACTAAATACATAGTTCCAACTATGTTCCTTGTGATTTTAAAGATTATGCTATTCAACTGGTGTTCACATTTAGTAAAACATTCTACACCAACGAAGAGTTAGAATCTGTGAGTTATAGCTCTACACTCAGCTCTCATCAACTCAACTTCATCGTTGATATAGCACGTTATTCTACAGAGTTTAACACCACAACTTATATCACCACAAGATGAAGGTTATTTGTTTCGGATGTTCACACAAAGCGTCGCAAGGGCTACTTGCACTAGCCGTCCCACATTTTAAAGTGACAGACTAGAAGGCAGGTCGCTAGTCAACAGCACTCACTGCCAAATGTTCAGCTATTCTAATTGAATAGTAGGATTTGAACGTTACTCTTATAACGCTCCTACTGTTTCAAATTACGGTGTTATTCCCTAATCGAATTGGGTAACATGAGTTATTACCTATTTATCGAGGATATTTAGGGAGTTATCACCTACTTAGCGAGGACATTTAGGGACTTATCACCTACTTAGCGAGGATATTTAGGGTTATTATACTTGAAAACCATACATCATGGTTGGTCACTGGTATGGTCTTTATGACCCATTTTTAGCAAATATGTTTCAAATCACACGTTTCTTATCAACATTCCAAAGTATAGAGAACCTGAATCTCGGTTGATGAATAACAGGTCACACTTATGTATTTCAGTCGGGAGTTTCCTTCAGTCAATCTGTTTTTCTATTAAAATTAATACTTTATCTAATATTTGACATCTTTGGCTAGAAGTTGATCTTCATTGTCATATTGAAGTTGTTTTTCATTTAGAATGATGTTGATTTTCCACGTGATAAGGGTGAATTTTAGGCACGAAAGGCCAGCTATTTCATGCATAACAATTCAGCATACAGCAAAGTTGGTTTAAATCACGATGAAAATCAATACTGCTGTAGCGGCACTTTATGTAAGGTCTCTATTTATCGTTGTACTTAAACATAAGCATTACACACAAGAATAATATGCTTGAAACCTGTTATGTGTTAGCGGTGAGATTGAGTGGATGTAGAATCCGTTGAGGGTTAAAACAACTAGTTTATTTATATGGGTGGAAAGAAAACTTAATCTCTCTAATACGTATAAAGTAGGATTTTTCATTAAAAGTATAAAATATCATTGTAAATTAATATAGCTTAAACTGTGTTGTTTTTAAACATTTTAAGATTTACAAACACCATAAAAAAACAATTGGTAAGATTTGGATCAATTCATGGTTTCTTTAGATATAGTACTGATTATTTAATTATTTGTTTATTACATTATTTTATAAGTTTTCAATATTTGTAAAGCACTTGTATGACTGAGTGTGTTTTGTTAGTGTTCAACCAGGGAGATGAAGGTACGTCGTGGTATATTATTCTGAGGGGAAGCGTGGATGTTGTTATTTATGGAAAAGTAAGTACAGACGTTTTCTATATATCCTTCACCAAGTTTGTATATATGTAAGAGTACATTAAGGTAGACTTGAAACTACAAGTCTATCCATTTTTAAGTGTGTTTCTGATTACAACAGTTAGTTTTCTAATTCATTTAGCGAACTACCTTACCCCTATGAGCTCATTTAGTCAACCATATTGTCTCACAGTGTTGACAAAATCAAAGGTACATTATTAACCACACCATTCCAATTAAGCCAACTTGATACTGTCACAGTTAAAAATAGTTATGTAGCTATTTTAGAATTAAATGCTCATTAAATCAAGCCGATTGTTTCGCAGTGTTAATTGAATTAAAAGTAAATCTGTATTAGCAACTCACCACCCCTATATGTTCAGTAATTCAAGCCGATTGTTTCGCAGTGTTAACTGAATTAAAAGTAAATCTGTATTAGTAACTCACCACCCCTATATGCTCATTAAATCAAGCCGATTGTTTCGCAGTGTTAATTGAATTAAAAGTAAATCTGTATTAGCAACTCACCACCCCTATATGTTCAGTAATTCAAGCCGATTGTTTCGCAGTGTTAACTGAATTAAAAGTAAATCTGTATTAGTAACTCACCACCCCTATATGTTCAGTAATTCAAGCCGATTGTTTCGCAGTGTTAACTGAATTAAAAGTAAAACTGTATTAGTAACCAACCACCCCTATATGTTTATTAAGTCAAGCTGATTTTGCCACAGTGCTCACTGGATTAAAGGTAAAATTATACATCGACACACTGTTAAATTAGTTCTGTCATGTTGTCCATCAAATTAAAGGTACAGTTTTATTAATAACCACAAAATATTTTCATATAATCATCCAGATCTTGTCGCAGCGTTCATTAGATTAAAGATGAAATTGTACTTTAGACCACTACATGTATCTTCTGTGAACATTTAGTCAAGCTGATTGTGCTACAGTTTTACTGTCGATATATTCTAGGTGATTGTAACGTAGTGTTGTCTAGCTTATAGGTAAAGTTTTGAAACTAAACCACATCAACTCTATCTGCCTTTCCAGTCCAGTCGTCAAAGTGTTTATTAGGGTGAAAATTTTGAAAAATGATCCAGTTTTTATATTTGCAGATGAAATTTACAGTTTGGAAATGTAATGCTATTTCCTGGCTGTTTGCAGTGAACTCGTGTTAATATTTTGTTTTATTTTGTTAAGGGAGTGGTTTGTACATTGCACGAAGGTGACGACTTTGGAAAGTTGGCCCTAGTAAATGATGCTCCAAGGTATTTCTTTTTATGTTTATCGTGACTGGCGATTATCAGTTTTGAACTAAAATCAAATCTAACGAAAAGCTAAAGGCACTTGTCAGCAAGTTTTATACGAAGACAACAAGCTATTGATATGTAATTCGTCATTTTTTTTTTTACCATAGTTAGTGTTTGTTATAGTTGACTTCGAGTGTAAACGGTCTAAAGACACACTCGTTTATTTATGTGAAACAGTACTTGGTTTTGGTACTTTATATGCTGAAATTCAATTATATAAGGAGACGTAATGGAATGTAAATCCATCCTATTTTCTTGATACTAAAACATTATCCAAAAGTAAAGTAACTCTCAGTGTTTGTGATAGTGGAACTTTGTCGACAAAACTTTTTTTGTCTAGTCATCTGGGATTGATAAAAGTAAGAAACATGGAAGTTTTTGGAACTGAAATTTGTATCGCTTAAAAATCATTTAATGGGGAAGTTTTTAGTTTTATAGAAATAGAATTTAAAAACATTATATTTTTGGAAGTAGGAGCTGTAAGTCAAAAACATAGCGAGTACAAAATCGGTTAAAATTAATAGTTAGGAACTCGTTAAAACTTGCTGGTACGTGCCCTCATTGATTTTTTTTAGAAATAATCAAGATCATGAGTAAATTATCTTAATTCTATCATATAAAGGGAATTTATTACTGTACCTAATTTCCACAATTCATATGAAACCACAATTTTTTTATAAGCATGTTATTCATAAACCCTTTTTAAAGAATTTTAATGAATGGTATTTTTCACAGACTCAAATAAAGATAGTTAAAAATAACTACTTATATATTGAATTCGACATGTTTGTATTTCTGTTCATTTTGTCATTTAGTTAGTTATCCATAGTTGTAAACTTCGCAAACATTGAATTCTAGTTAGTCACCTGTAGAAATAGATCTAATTATGAATGAAGCTATGGTTTGTTAGGCCAAGTAAAACAAAAACAACAACATCCGGTATTTTCGAAAAAAGGAAGGAGGAGGTCCTTTTTTTTTTTTAATGACTTTTGTGAAAGAAATTTTGCCCCCTTTTTTTTTCATGACTATTGTTTGCTTTTAAAGGGTCCATGTCAAACAGAAGTCTTCTTCGTTTCATTTTCTCATCACAACGATACAGAATTTATGACAATTAAAGAAAACGGGCAAAATGAATGAACTGTGTTCATCTCGTTTTATATTGAGAGTTTCTTTGTATGATCGAAAAACGATAATTCAAAAAACGAGAAAAAATCGACAAAATAAAAAGTGAGGGAAGCGGCTGCAAAAAAGGAAGCGGGCGGGGACACTAAACATGTGTTTTTTTATTTTTTTACTTTGCCGTATGAGTTTAGAGTATGCTATAAACAAAAAGTTTAACTTGTTAGCAGTGCATTTAAAGTTAAGTATTTGTAAAGCTAATATTCAATTGCAATGAAGCTTTGGTTGATTATCGAGGTAAAGTTCTTTAGCAGCATAAATATAATATCAATATTTGCTATCAATGTAGTTAAAGTACGATGTTAGTAATGCTAATATTTATTAGCAGTGGGGCTTTGGTAGCTTATCACCGTCAGTGAAGCTATATCCGCTTATTAGCATTGGAATATTTTGCATTTGTAGAATTACAATTATTTAGTAGTTCAGTTTTAGCTGATTAGCAGTGAAGCTGTAGTGGTTCGTAATTGATCAGTGGCAAACCTATATACCATTGTTGGTTAACAAGGAAGCAAAGTTTACCAACAATACAGTTCCAGTTTATTAATAGTCAACGCCTGGTTAGTTAGAGTACCATCGGTAACCGTAACCTTCACTGATCCAAGATCGTTGAAACCTTGCGATATCTTTGTCGATGAATAAACCTCCAACAAATTAGAAGCATCTAATAATAAAAACAGTTGACCCAAAACAAAATAATATAGCATGTGGGAAAAGGTCGTAAAATGCCCCAAAGAATAAAATATGTAATTAGTCAAGGTCAGAATGCCTCAATTAGCTGTATTTTCCGGAGAAATATCAAAATAATATTAATGCTGAGTGACGAATATAATTAGGCCTGTGAGGATAAAATTGTTCAGAGACAAAGAATGATGGAGAAAGATTGAATCTCTATAACAATAGTTACATTGTTCTAAGGACGAATAGAAAAATTAAAAAGAAACATTGATTTTGTTTTCTTCCTTCCATGATAAGCCTATCTTACTTTCGTGTGAGATAGACCATTGAAGATAGGTGTATACTGTATCTTCTTATTACAGGAGCTGACGATGAATTGACAACAGTCCAACTTGTTTTGAAAGTTGATTAGTTTTAGGATCAATGGTATGCAGAAAAGGAAAAGTTCGAAAGGATAACAAGAGTAATAGGAAGTCCGCCTTGCTCAATATCGAACAGTCTCAAGAGCGAAACTTTGTTTTCTTTATCTAAGCCACTTTCTAAGTTACGATATAGTGCGTTAGGTCTACTCTGTGATGGGGAGATCTTCTAGTCAACCAGAATGTTACGTATACAACATGTATATTATCACTGTTACTCGTATGTTTAAAGAGAATTAATACATTGCTGTCTCAGTCAGTCACTATATTAGTTATTTCGTCCGCAAACGTACCACGAGTTGGTTTAATATTTACATTTTGACTGTTCAACATGAGACCTGGTTATTTGAGGACTCGCATTTGGTCCCACGAATACTGTGTGTTAGAAATGAAACACACTTTATCAGGGTATTTTATCTTTGTGGGTAATAGCTATGCATTCAAAAACACAAGTTTTCACCTTAATTTTTACACGACAATTATATCACATGTCAGAAAAGTGGGGAAAGAAATACAAAACGCAATGTTAAGAAATAAGTAGTACAAACACAGAGTAGGTTTCGGTATTTATAAATTAATAAATGTTACGACTTCTGAATGAAATACAAAACAATCAAAGGTATACTACAATCTTCACTAGATGAGAACAGAACCCGCAGATTTAACTTGTAGTTTGTTTACATTACAGAGCAGCCACCATCGTGACAAGAGAAGACAACTGCCATTTTCTGCGTGTAGATAAAATTGATTTTAACAGGATACTTAGAGTAAGTAATAGATCGTTTGTAAGGTAACTTGATACTTCATTTTACTGTGATATACTGTGCTGTTAGTTAGGATAACTGATTGTATACTTCTTACAACTAAAATATTATTTAAACAAAATAGGTGTGTGTGTGTGTGTGTGTGTGTGTGGTGTTTTTAGTTATATTTTACTTACCACAGTGATCCTATATTTATACGGGACCTGAAGAATATGCAGCATTGACGCTACTAATTTATTTTTCCCAATTATTCAGCAGACGAGCTGTATAAAGTAGTACAAAAATGTGAATCTCAATCTATCATTCTGTTATTCACTTGTCACTGAGTTATACCGGTTTCAGGGAATTCCAACCTTCGCTAGCAACCATAGGCAAAGGCAAATAGATTGAACGCTACTAGGCTTTCTATAGTGGTGGACTATTTTTGATATACGTAGAAGTGTGTAAAATGCATACGATTTTAACAGCAGACCACATTATAATTATTTATAAAAACTTATAGTATCAAAATAAAACCATATATAAATACTTTTAAAAAAGGTATTGTTACTTACTAATTAGCATTTTTTATCTTTTAATTTAACATGTTACACCAGATTTGAATGAACAATAAAGCCCACCATGGCAACAAAAATAAAAATCCCAAAACGTAGAACAAGGTTTGCTGGCTTTCTGTGAAACTGTTTTAAGCGTTTGAGTTGTGTAAAGCTTCTTACTTTCATCATTAAGAAAATTAATTTTTTAAAAAAGATTATTTTTAGACTGCGTAACTTCTGAATTGCTATTTGAATAAATTACACTTTCTCCATCTATCGAATAAAACCGACACTTTCTCATAGCTAAGACTAACTAGGACTTTTTTTATGTGAGGGTCTCAAAATCGAGATTAAGGGCTTCCCTTTATACGTATCAAACTTTTTTTTACAAGCATATATTTTTATCTTATTGTTGCAACTTCCAGTATACCAAATAACACACAATTATTGTCTTTATAAGTGTGGTATGTAACAGAAATTATTTCGTGGGGCATTACGATATTTTTATATTATCAAAGTATTGGGACAGCAAACTCTATCTAGGAGAAATTTATGAACAGGTGGCAGATACAACCAGTTAAAAAGAGCTCACAATACCTTCAAATTCAAACGATTACTGGATGAAAAATGGTGACACGAGTGTTCCAGGCATACTATTTAAATAATTGTATGAACATTTACTGATTGATGTCCAAAAAAAGATAGAACCCATTGGATGTGCAGGTAATAATTGCCAACTTCCTAAAATTATTTTCACTATTCGTTGTTTGCCTTACGTTGATAGGCCTATGTCTGACTGTAACTTGAATTCTATGAATGTGATTATGTCAGTCCTAATTGTGAAATCTCGCGAGTAATATAATGTCGTGAAGCTTATTTGAACATGAACTAATGCTAATAGTTTAGAGAACCTTGAATGCTTGCTGCTATATTACTTGTATCCAGGAAAGGCCGTACCACTTACAGCGTGATATTTAACATATCGTATCACACATCATATTCAAGATTAGTCTGAGGAAAGTATCATCCAGAATTAATTTTGAACACCCCAAAATCCCGAACTAAGTCCAAGTTAACTGTTCTGGATCGCTGTTTGAGAGGGACAAATGAAAAGATTCCAACATTTCATTACATTTGGAGGTTTGGTGTTATATTTTACAAGACGTGCACACACACATTTAGCGACAGATTCCATATAGTGATTAAAACCAAACAAGAGTCTACTTTTTTGTTTAAAATGGGATTCTAGCAGCGACATGAAACACTCCCAACACAAAGTATGCCATCCCATTATTTTTGGTATATTACTATATTAGTGCAGCTAGAAATTCCAAGGTATTTACTGTGATAGTACATGCGGCTAATGTTCGTGAGTTAAACTAGGTAATTTTCATAGCAGTTTAAAATGCTAGAAATAAATGAATCTTTATTTGGAGGAACTAGTGAGTGAAACATTTTTATTAATAAATACAGTCTAGTCGGATAACTTTTGAAAGATGGAGCCACCTTAACGGTACATATCGTTTTGTATGGAAAGTAATTGTGCCTATTAAATTTTAAGTTCACATATTTCTTAATATCTTCGTAGTTTTACGATAATGAGCAAAGTAATGCTGTAAATATAATCTATTTAGAAAGATATCGGTTGCAACTTTTATGATTTCTGCCTTACAATGGTAATGATTATATATGAAGCGTTTAAAATGCAGCACTGATGGTGTTAATGTTTGTGCTGCTGAATTATAGGATGCAGAGGCAAATACCGTTAGATTAAAGGAGCATGGGCAGGATGTGCTGCTTCTTCAGAAAATTCTTACTGACGTCAGAGGTGTCGAGGGAAGCCATTGTCACTACAAGTAAGATTTGTAATTCTGAGAAGTACACTTAGTAAGTAGAATATAATATTAAACTATAATATGAACATTCTGAATAAATACATTCCATGCAAGTTTTCTGTTGAATTTAATATTACCAATTTCGATATAACAAAACTAGCATATTTAAGTACAACGCATTTCACATGTAATTTCTGTAAAAAACCCAACAAATTCCAGTTTTCATCTGTCGTTCATCCAATTTAATTGAAGGTACTGCCTTCCAACTATTATTGTCTGTAATGTTCTTAAGAAATATCGTTTACACTCAGATGACGCCAGTGTTTCGTTCATAGAAAACTGATAATTAATTTTTGATGTTTATAGTTATAGTCATTTTAAGTGTAAAACTTTTGTATTATATTTCACTTAGAGGCTCTATTTTTCCACTATTATTTGGTTTACAGAATTATTTTATTTATTATATCTTCTGGAATTAATTACTTATGATACCTCTAATGACACTAGTTTCATAACGTTTCTAGTGGCTGTTTGTATCCATCTCTCGGTTTTTACACCTTTCCCATTGGTTCTCTTGTGAGTTCAAAGTTTCGGCTTGTGACCAGGTAAATTAAACTGTCGTTTCCATGACAGGTACATAGAGAAATATATAGGGTCCTTGTATGGGAAGGTGGTTAGGGCGTTCGACTCGTAATCTGTGTGTCACGAATTCGACATGCTCGCCCATTCAGCCATGGGGGTGTTATAATGTGGCGGTCAATCCCACTATTTCTTGGTAAAAAAAATAACCCAAGAGGTGGCGATGGGTGGTGTTGACTAGCTGCCTTCTCTCTCTAATCTGTTACTGCTAAATTAGGGACGGGCAGCTCAGAGAGCCCTCGTGTAGATTTGCGCGAAATTCAAAACAAGCCAAATCAAGATTACTTGGGTTACAGAAAATTATGCAATTTTATTTTTTCCTAGTATGAATAATAACTAAAATTGTATTCAATCAAATGCTAAACTATAACGAATTCTCTTAGTATCTTTTGAATCTGCTTAAATTGTAATGTTAAAGCCCAGCTGATTTTTGCCATGTAATTATAATCAGTTTAATAATTTTTGAAGGGGAACTCCGACTGATACTTCTTTACAATATATGAAAATATTATGTCTACTTAGTAACACGTGTTTGTTAACCATAAAACGAGTTAAAAAATAGGGTACTATCTACTTTCATATCTTTCATGGACAATATCGCAGATAATAGGTAGCGCTCCGGCTCCTCACGTTCACACGTTGATAGCCTTCTCACTCATTCCTCCTTCATTTTAAAGCGTGAAGAAACGCCGTGGCTATTTGTCTGAATGGGATGGGGGTTAACTGTTTCTTTTTTTAATGAAGTATAATGATTCAATATTCACAAGTTGGGGTGAAGATAAACTGTTTATTTCTGAGCACCCCTGGTTCTTAGAATCCAAACACCTACCATGAAATAGCAAACGCTGTTTATAAAATACTGAGAAAGTAATCTATAAAATGATACTTAGGAATATGTCAAGCAGTACACTATCTCGTATTGAACTGTATAGTGACTAAAACAAATTGGACAAATGGGACAGAGTTACCTCGTTAACTTCTGAATTTGGATGCCTGTGCATCATTAGTAACAACCATATTCAAACAACGGGACGAAAACGATTTAATACAACTACCACTCTTTAATAATAATGAAAAATAACAAAACAAAAACGAATCAACTCAGAATTTGTTATAAGGCAGGTAGCTTTAAAAATTAAAAGAAAACTGAAATGAAGAACTTTGGCGATGAAATCTGCTTCTTTATACGTATTTTTTGTTTTGTTTTTTAATAAGAGGGCTATGGATGTGATCGACATAGAGAGAATGAGAGAGGATTAGCTGATCCAGTAAATCACTTGTATAGTTTACAATGGAAAGTTTGTTGTTTGTTTGTTTGTTTTTGAATTTCGCGCAAAGCTACACGAGAGCTATCTGCGCTAGCCGTCCCTAATTTAGCAGTGTAAGACTAGAGGGAAGGCAGCTAGTCATCACCACCCACCGCCATCTCTTGGGCTTTTCTTTTACTAACAGATAGTGGGATTGACCGTCACATAATAACGCCCCCACGGCTGAAAGGGCGAAATTGTTTGGTGTGATGGGGATTCGAACCCGCGACCCTCAGGTTGCGAGTCAAACGCCCTAACCACCTGGCCATACCGGGCCATTTGTTTTTATAAAGTTAAATAGCAGACATACAAAAAAGCCCCTAGTGGCTCAGCGGTAAGTTTGAATGGTTATAATTCTAAAAAATAACGGATTTCAATGTCCATAGCGGGCACAATACAGGTAGCCCATTCTGTAGCTTTGTGCTTAACAATAAATAACAAAAGGATCAGTATAAGAAAACGTGCTTTTAATCATTTCTAAACCAAATTAGTGTACTTTATTGCCTATTATATATTACAGAAGTATTTGTTATGTATGGATAAATTACATTCTCATTATTTTGATTTCACTGACAAAATGCTCGATAGTTTATTAATTTGAAAGTATTTTACAGTTTTTAATTTAAAAAGTTTTAGCTACTTGATTTATGTTTTCATAATAATCCATAATTACTTTAAATATTAAACGCAAAAGATGCTCCAAAGATATGTATTTAAAATGTTTGCAGATGTTTCCATGGATTTGGAATGCCTCTAGTAGGGGATTTTGCAACACATGACAAAACGCATGAGTAGAGAGACATGTCTTACTAAGCCAGTCACACGCGTTCATCTTTCTGTACCTTTGTACATCACAGTAAAGAAGATAAAGGGTGAATATCATGGGGAAAATGGGCCTCTATAATCTACCATTACATAAAGAAAAATATTAATATTTAATTATTAAATTATTTTAGATGTCCTGTGTTAATGTTTTAGAATCTATTTCAAATTTTTAGTTGTTGTGTCAACTATTGCGTTTCTATTAAGTCTTAGTTTTCAGAAAGCTATAATTATGATGTTATATTGCTTTAATTGTTATTCTCTAGGTGATTCATAAATAACGTTTGCTGGTGTAGAAGCTCGAAGTTTGTCAGCATAGAATGGTTATTATTAGTCTTTTGATACGTCACACCATATACCAGCTCACAGAAGCTCATTGTTAACACTAGCGGTCACCCAATCTACTGATATTTATGGGATGGTCTCTACTTGTCTAATCAAACATGGGTGTAATAATTTCCAAAGGTTATGTTGTAATTAGTCGAAATTTTGCAGCTAATTACGCAAGAAACGTGGATAATTGAATTGTATAAACAGTTAACTACGGGCATCGGTGACAGTATTCACGTGGTTGAGAATGTTAAAAAAAACAACGACTGTGATTGGTTAAAAGGAAAGTATTTTATAAAAATATAAGTAAATAATGCTCTCTTTAATAGAAAGTTTTCTTGTTTTTTTTCACAATAACTGTGATTGACTAAAGAAAAATTATTTTACAAAAATATAAGTAAGTAATGCCCTCTGTAATGGAAAGAAAGTTTTATTATTATATAGAGCTGAATGTTTAAATATGTTTTTATAAGAATGTGACGATGTCATGGCTACCAGGTAATTATATGTAACTAATTCAAAGGAAAGTAATTTACATAACAATTTTGTTGGCCTTCCATACCGTATTTTTCATGAATTTCTTCTTTGTTGTCGAAATCCACTAGTTTAGGCCTCTTTTACATTTAGATAAGAAAACCATAGAGGATAACTTGTTTATTTACAGAAGGACAGTTAATTCCAGCTTTTCACTCTGAACGTCTCCTTCTTCTGTCTTTTGTAATGCTTCTACGGGATGATTGCTTTCTCTGCAAGATTATAAACTCTTTCTTATGTCCCAAAATGTCTTTTTTTTTTTCTCCACCTTTTCTGGTGCTGTGTGTGTATGAGATATCTATTACGAAACTTTTCAAGGTTTATACGAAGTTTTTCTAACCGTTATGTGATGAGCATAATGTATGAGAGTATTTCTTAGAAGACGTTTGTATACAAGTTAAAAGTACCAGTTACCTTTATTATGGCCCCGGGTTCTTGCATAACATCGTTATCTTTATCCTTTAAAGTCAACGTTGTTTCTTATCTGTTTAGCCTGGTTTCTTTTATATTAGAAAACAAAGCGAAACTTTCTTGTATATTTTGAGTTGCTTCTTTTTAATCTTCTTAGATACTGAAGTTTCTTTCAGAATATTCAGCCGGAATCGTTCTTATTGGTTTATGTGTATTACTAAATCTTTAGTTTTTGTATCTCAACTGGCATCTGATTATGCTAATTTTTTTTGCTTCGAGTTATTGAGTTATTTTCCTTTGTATCTTTTTTTTTTAGAATTGTTATGTTGCTAGGTTCTTTTAAATTTGCTTCACTATTCATATTGATTGATGTGTTTAATCATAATCACTGATACATCTAATTATCCTTCTGACAAACGAAATGTAGAATCTCCAGTGCGAATTCGTGACTTTTCAATCTGTATTGCCTGGGGGCCATATTGAACAGAATTGCTACATGCCAAGACGGCTTCATGTTTGAAAAAAAAAATATGTATTTAATTAAAGGAGTAACATTTGTGCGTATGTGAAAAGCTTTTCAAACTTCTTTAAATTATGCAAAAATGAAATTATGAATAAGAAAATACGGACTACGTCACCATATGCGTAAGGGAGGGGTGGGTGTAGATAGCACTATGAAATACAAAGGGAAAGGTATTTGGGAAATTGATCTGTCATCCCTCAAAGCTTCAACCCAGACAGCAGTATTTATGTGTTAAGGTTTTGTGTGTGAATTTCTTCATTTGCTTATATCCACTTAAGAGTACGGGTATCATCACTCTATTGAGTTTTAATACTTGTCCACGATACCCAGGCTTTGAAAGCGTCAATAGATCTGACGTCCCTTATTAGATAAGCCGATTGGTTTGCCATTTTTTATCAGACCATTTGGCTCGAAATGTGTTTTATACTAGAGGTGCCTCGTGGGTGTCACGTGTTGTGGAACAGGTTTAACTCACTTAGATTTAACTCCGCAGTCATTGAGACGCTCCGCACGGCCACCAGATTTGTTAAGAACTGTACGTACCTAATTACTTACGTGAGCAATCTAGGCTGGTCACTTAACCATTTTAATTACTTTAGATACAAAGCATTGCCTTTATATTTTATAAATTTTGTGCAATTAAATACAAAATACCATAACAAAAAATATTTCTTATGCAAATCACTAGTTTTCTCTCCATTTTAAATCAATGAATAATATAGAAATTGATTTACCAAATTATTTTTTTTAAATTTTTGAGCCGCTGAGAAATAACATAAAACTGTACTTCGTACTGATCTTCAGCTTCTTATATAAGTACCAAAGTTTTATGCTTTGACAACGACGCTAGTAGTTAGGATGTCACTTTGAAGGCGGAAGTGTGACGCCATATGTAATTAATATGCATATGCAAATGATATGCTAATTAATAAATGAGGTTAATTAATAAATTAGGATGGTTAATATTCACGTTTTTGTATATATTC